GCCAGGGGATCCAGCACCCTTCTCTGGTCTCTTCAGGTACCCACACACACACACACACACACACACACACACACATACACACACACACACAACCAAACAACCCCCACCCCAAAATTTTAAAAATTGAAACTTAAAAAAAAAAAATCTTCCTGAGCTGGAGAGATGGCTCAGGGTTAAGAGCACATATGGTTTTGCAGAGGACCCATATTTGGTTCCCAGCACCCATGTTGGGTGACTCACAACTGCCTGTAACTCCAGCCTCCAGGGCATCTGATGTCTCTTCTGGTCTTGCACACATGTGCAAACACACAGATGCACATACATACACATAGTAACAAATAAAAGTAAATCTTTAAAAAAAATCTCAATTTACCTTGGCATTTGGAACTTTACTGACTAATTTCCAAATATTTGGGAGTACTTAGAAATAACTTTATTTTTTACCTGAGTCAGTTTTAATCTGGTCAGAGTTATATTCTTTATGATTACCTCTTTTAAATTTATTGATTCTTGCTTTATGGCCCAGCATATAGCGTCTATGCTAGTGAAGGCTCCCTGTGGGATATTCTATAAAGATGAACTGAATGTAGTGATTGATAGAGCCTTTCCAGCTGTGTGTAGACTTACTGATTCTCTTTATTCTCTCTATTACTGAGGGAGGAACATTTATATTCAAAGTTAAAACTGTTACTCCCTTCAGATCCTTTCAGCTTTCATTCATGTACCTCATGCATTCTCAGTGCGGTGACAATGCTCCCATGTTCCTAGGCGTAGTGAAAACCAGATATTGCAGATGGCTCTCCAAGGGCCATCAGAACAGAAACAGAATGCCATTAAATTTTCATGGGGCCTCTACCCACTGAGCCATCTCACTAGCCCCTGAATTATTTTTCGGTTGATTAACTTTTTCTGTTTCTGGGCCATATTTTCCTGCTTCTTCATATGTCTAATCATTTTTTTTGCAACAAGGCCTTGCTATAGTGCACAAACATTTGTGTAATTGAAAAAAAATCTAAAGGGGGCTGGAGAGATGGCTCAGTAGTTAAGAGCACTGGCTGCTCTTGCAGAGGATCCAGGTTTGGTTCTCAGCACCCACATGGCAGCTAACAACCATCCATAACTCCAGTTCCAGGGGATCCAGTGTCCTCTCTGGCCTTCCTGGGCATTGCGTGATACACGCGGCACCTACATACATGCAGGCAAAACACACATACACATAAATTAAAAATAAAAAATTTTGGTCTTTTTGAGACAGGGTCTCCCTGTAGCCCCAGCTGGTCTGGAACTCACTATGTAGATCAGGCTGGCCTTGAACTCACAGAGATCTGCCTGCCTCTGCCTTCCAAGTGCTGGGATTAAAGGTGTGTGCCACCATGCCTGGCAAAAAATAAATAAAATCTTAGGAAAACTCCTAAAAGTCTTTAGGAGGATGATTATAACTAAAGGCGAGATGCGCTAATACATTTTGAAGCCCTGTTAAGGACTATTACAGCAGGACTGTAACTGCCATTGTTTTCAGTGGACCAAATGGGGGGGGGGTTGCCCCTAAAAAAAGAATTACAGCTTTTGATGCTATGTTCCTTCTCCTTGCTGGAATAACTCATGTTCTGGAATGGACTGTCTCATGGAACATCCCACCATCTCCTAACTACTGTTTGTATGTGCAACAAAGTTTGATCGCTTTTTTTTTTTTTTTCTTTTGAGACAGTCTTACTACGTAGCCCAGGTTGGCCTTGGACTCACTGTGTAGACATGGGTGGCCTCAAACTTATGGCAATCCTTTCCTCAGTCTAAGACTGAGATTATAGACATACACCACTACAACCTAGCTCTTGACTCCATTTTTTTTATGATTTACTGATAAGAAATGTTTAGCCTCTCTTGCCTTATCCCTGGGCAAGTCAATAACAGAACTCTCATGTTCTCTGTTGGTGCTATCAAGACTCTAAGCCATACATGTCCATACACAGAACATCCACCTGACCTATTCCTAACCATAATGAACAGCAAAGCGACACTCTTCTTTGCCATCACAGGCCTCTTTAGGACATGTGGGCACCTTCCCTGCTCTCCTCGGGAAGGTTCACTGTGCTAGACTTCAACCAAAATACATGAACCAAACTATGGGGAGGAAAGTAAATTCCATGCTCACACAGGGCAACCATATGACAGCATGTTTACTGTTTAACTTTGTGTTCACATTTAATGTGCATTTTATTTTATTTATTTATTTATTTATTTGGTCTTTTTGAGACAGGGTCTCCCTGTAGCCCCAGCTGCCCTGGAACTCACTATGTAGACGAGGCTGGCCTTGAACTCACAGATCCACCTGCCTCTGCCTCCAGAGTGCTGGGTAAAGGCTTGCGCCACCACACCTGGCCTTAATGTGCATTTTAAAAAGTACACTTTACACCATATACCATGGAGGCTTTGCTTTCTTTAGATCTTGGTCATTTTTGTATGTTTCATTTTATCCTCTTTTTTTCTTGATGTCAATTGTGGGACCTGTTTTAACACCCTATTCTGCAAATTCTACCTATCATCTCTACTTTTTAGGCTTGATTTTATTGACTGAAATTTTTCTTTTTTTGTAACTTTGTGTTTGTTTGTGTGTGTGTGTGTGTGTGTGTGTGTGTGTGTACATGTGACACAGCATGTGTATGGAGGTCAGAGAACAACTTGTAAGAGTTGGTTCTCTCCTTTCATCATGAGGGTCCTAGGGATC